ACCCAACAGGATCCACAGCTGCCTTGATCCCGGATCTCGCCGATGGTGGGGCAGTTTGGCCACTGTGTTCGCGCATCGAATTCCTCCGGCAGGGGATCTTCACCACCGACCGCGTGACACATCCGGGGAAGCAGGTTGTTGCCGTGCGGATTCGGATAGACACCCAGCTGGAGGCGCGCCTCTGACAACTTCCCGAAACGCCTGGTGGGGGCGGCCTTCCAGGTGGTGTTGAGCTTTAAGGAGAAAAGATGACGTTAAATGAGGCATTCACTGCTTCCTTCATCAAAGTACTACGGTGAATCTGGCGCAGAATGAACACCGTGAGTCCTTAAAGACTACCCGCTATGCTGATAATATTGAACCTACCGTCTTCACATAGTTATTGCAAGAGAGAATCGAAGTACAGTAGATAGCATATCTGATGAAATGTGAAGATAAAAATTTGAGTGGATGATTTAATATACATTTGAGGTTGTTTATTTTGTTCATTGAGGTAGCTTGAGGTGCAAACTTCTGTCTACTAGAAAAGAGTTCGCTTCGGATCAGTATACTGGGGGCAAAACGGGGCGGAATGGTGGCCAACTACAACGTTTGTTTATCTTTAAGGAATTTCCTAAGCTATTAAACACCGCGGAAAAAGAATCCTTGTCTTTGCGTGTTGAACAAAAAAAAAATTAATAAAAAGTGGAAACTTTTTGATTATATATGTTCAGAGAACAGACAATTTTATTTTGCCTTCATGAAATTGAGGCTAGTGAAATTATGAGATAGCGCATTATTTTGGGAAAAGAAGAGCGAAGTAAGATTTTAAAAATCCATTTTGCAAATATGCCAAGTTCTGTGCCATAAAATAAAGCAATACACTTATAAGGTTGTTATTTGCTATACCCCACCGAAAATAACGGCCATAGACAAGCATATATAGCTCAAGTGGGTAGAGCGTTGGCTGGCGTAAAAGGCCTCCCTCCTATGCGGGTTCGAATCCCGCCGAATGCCGCGAGTTCCAGAATGCCGCGAGTTTTTTCACAATTGGGTCAACTAAATTAACCAAATCTGCCAAACTAACTTAATACATACAAACACCCAAGAAATGTCATCAATTTACTCTCTCAAGCCGTAGGCAAAACATGTCCGAACATTTTTAATCGATAGGGCAGAATTAATGGATGGAAGAACATGTAACGGAACGGGCAGAAGATTATTAGTTTTATCAAAATCGTCGTTGATATTCTGCCACTATGCTCTGCTCTTGTTATCTTAGAACTGAGCCTAGAAGTAAACAAATATACTGAAAACTGCTGCGGTTTCCATAGAAAAATTAGCTCTTTCATTTACAATAGCAGATGTGTCCTATGGTAAACGGTGCCTACATGGAGACCACTTACAATCCAGTTATAATGAAATAGTTGCCTGTTGACCAGAAACTGGATAAGTCTTCTTCCAAGCCATCTTGTATTCAACCAAAGTACTATTGACAGATAGTATTGTCGACAATGTCATGGGAGACTGAAAGGGCCATTTCTGGCTTATTAGCCGTCGACAGCCAGCCAGACCCAAGTGGCGTCCCACCCGAGCCTCGAACTCGCAAGCTTTTTGATCAGAGTCAAACTTCCTAACCGTTGAGCCATGAGCTCGCTGTCTCGCCGGTTTAGGCCGAGGGATATTGACACTCATTGATGAATATTCACCCGACCGCTAATGGCACTTATCTGTCCAGCCCTGCCTAGGGTCTCGATATAGGCCCTGACAGCCTCCTTCGATAACGAGCTTGTGGGTCAATGGTTAGGGCGTTTGACTCTGATGAAATGGGTTGCGAGTTCGAGGCTCGGGTGGTACGTCATCTGGATCTAGGTATGACTGGCTGACGACGGCTAATAAGTCAGAAACAGTGATTCCAGGCTCCCCTATCTTTGCTGGCAATACTATCTGCCTATACCACCAGATACTACGCCTATCTGGGCGTCTGTGGAGACCTTAGGCAGAGCTGTTTAAATGAGTTCCGCTGGTGGTCGGGTGAAAGTTCATCAATGAGTGAAAAGTACTGTTGCAATTAATTCAATTCGAAACTTGTGTCAGGACCG